AAAAAAAAAACCCTCATAACACCATTCATTTCACCAGGGTTATCTGACATTAGTGCAGTCCGCAATCCTCTGTAATGTTGCACAACTTTTGAGTGTAATGAAATAGGCTGAATTTCCTGCAATCCTTTCCGAAAGGCAACTAAGCATCAATGGTGCTAATGAAGGAAGATACTGCACGTTATTATGAGTGCATAGCATATAAAGTGAAGTGCGTTTTTCGTTTTGTAGAGGTTCGTCAAGTGACCGCAACTTTTAATCATGCTGAAACATAAATATGGTTCACACGAATTCTTGTTCGTAGTCACAAGTAGTATGTTCGAAAGCATGAAAGTTTGAACAGACTATCAGATAATGCAATGGAGGGTCGGGATTCAATGCCAATAGCGCGGTCAGAATCTCTAAGACGTATAGCAGCGGAAAGAATTATCTGGAGAGATGACTGTTCAATTACAGTCGATGTGATAGCTGGTGATGCTTGAATTTTTAGTGATGAGATCGCTCGAGATCTAATGGAGAAGATAGGATGATTGAAAAGTGGGTGAATTGGTATTAGGGAACGAATATGAAGATGAGTCGCAATGTTTGTGCGATCGAAAATTTGAGCTAATAAACTGATCATGATCACTTGATCACTTGCTTGTGATGGGTGCTGAATTTATCAGCGCAATTCACATTTTTGCAGAATCGAATTTTGAGAGGCATGCTCGGTGTGATATTTCCGGAAGGTCTAGGTAAGTATGTATTGTGGAACTACTGATATTTTTTACTCCATTGCAGTATTGCTTGTCTCCACTAGGACTAAGTGGAGCCTAGGTTAATTGATTGTACCGGGCAGAAATGACGAGGAAATTTGGTGTGCATGCTGTTATACAAGGATTGTCAACCGGGGTTGCTTGCATTCTCAAAGGGTGCGAGATAAGGTTTCATTTATTATACATTAAGGTAGGTGAGGACAGAGCTGGACACGTACAAGTGTATAAAGTGGGCGAGGGTGTACCTTTGCGTAGATGTTTTTGGAAAGGCTACAACATAAAACACTCATCTACACAACGGACATTCGTTGGAGTGGATAAGAGATGCAGAATAAATGTTTTCAGTGATGCGAGGACATCTCAATCATTGTTGTAGGGGATGCAAGGCCATCTTAAAGTTTTTAAAGGGGTGCGAGTAATAACGGTTGAGAACCACTGCTATAATGCAAGGCTCTTGTCGACCAGATTCGTATTATTCAGGCTATCACTTGATTCTGACTGTGAATTCGGATAAACCAAGTGTCTGTCATATTATGTAACTAAGTATACTGGCAATATTATTTGTTGTTAATTATGACAAAAGCCTAACGAGAAAATTGAGTCAAATTGAATTGTTGAAGAGCATTCCGGGAAAGCGACCAAAAAATCCCAGAACTGAGGTGGGCCAAGCATCGAAGATCCCCACATTCTTATGGTTCGTAGACATAGTGAGTAGATAAAGAAAGTAACAAAAGTTTGGATGGGATGGTGGGATAAGTACCACTCCTAAAACTGTTTGTCTAACGTAATGTTGGCATCTGGCACTGAGGACGACAATTGCTTATTCCTGTTTATCAACCAATCCCGTACGGACGGGGTCAGAATCCGTTTTATCAGTAGCTCGATATGGCAGACTGAGCCAGTTTGTTACTGTGCAAGGATAGTTTATCATTTCGCAATCATTCGTTTATTGTCAGATCAAATAGTCTGCGCTGTGAATTGAATTGTACTAATAGCCTAATAGTTTCGATGACACGATTGAAATGAATATTCCTCTCAAAGGAGCACCCTCACTATTCCAAACTAGTGAAAAATAATCGGTTAAGGGAAGCTTTCAGGTCAGCTGTGGTCTCTTTCGCGTTCAGTTTACCTCTTTTTCTATGTCTGCTTGGTAAAATGGAATTTCTCCGCGAAGAAAAAAAAAGAATTCGATCTACAATCAGTTCAGCCATTCCAATTTTATTCCATTTCAAATTTAGCTTTTATTTGATAAAATTTTACGAAGAAATTCTTTCAAATCAATATAGGACAGGAGCCCACTTGAGCCGGAAAGATGCTTCAGTCGTAGGATGTTTCATGAATTCTTTTCGATTTTGCCACCTGTACAGTTGAATAGCTCTTATCCCTTACGAAGTCTTTGCCACCGCTGCAATCAAAATAGATGTTGTCCAAATTACTATGCAGAGATTGATTCAGCTCCCTGAATTGAGTACTCCAAAAATGTCGAGGTATGGATGAGATGATGTTATTGAATAGAGTTGCATCTGTGTCCATCTAAAATTAGTAACAACAGGAATTTTTTGCATAGAATTCGATGGCCACTGATAGAAAACAAAAACGGCTGATTGACAAGTGGCACCGGAAGACTAAAATCCGGTGACTACCGACCGAAATCGACTTATGCTCAGAATTGACCTCTCTGTGGCTATCAAAAAAATCTGTCAATTCCCAACTGCAGCAATGAATTGCAAAATGACATTCATCGCTTGAGAGTCGTTGTGTTTGGATTGATGGTTGAACAATTAAACACGAATACTGTGTTTATTGTCTTCTTAGCCATCAACAGCCAATGTTTCTGGGCAAAGTAGAACGGGGTTGAAAAAGACTGCAATATGCTCTTGGCGAGTTGTGATTTTCTCGAGATAACAGCCCATATTGCAGTAGTGCAATTCCATTAGAACAACCAGTGACCCGATCTTCACAGACTTTCCTGAAATTCGACATGCTCAGAGTTTGATATTTCACCGAAAAGTAGAATACTATCCTATCGACATGCTGCAGTTCTATCAGATGAGGCAATGACAAAGTTTCATCGTTAGAGTGGGATCGAAAAAGACCCAATAATGCACCATAGAATTAATCGAAATGAAAAAACATTGATATGATGTTGAAATGTGTTATTGATATATGCTGTTCTGTTGCTCGCATTAACTGAATCGTTTAATCGATCGAAAGAACAACTTGGCAATGACTAAAATGTGATTGAATTAAAGCAGATGTATTTACTGTGGCTGGTATTATCCATCACAGCCGCGGTAAGTGAAACAGCTCAATTCGCGAATTGGATTGATGCAGACGGAAACGTATTTCAAGGTGTTTGTAAACCAAAACAAAGATTTTATTTAGCGAATTCGGTCGTTGGAGAATGTAATATTAATAATGACATTCAAGTTATAGGTACGATCGTTCCTTGTTCAGATTACTGCTTTTCAAACTCCCATCTGCCTTCCTAATAAAATCACTGAAGGTTGTGGCGTCAACCTTATTATTTCTTCGGAAATAATTGACAAGGAATGCGGCGAGAATGATTGAAACCACTATAAGACTCATATTGAGAGGAGGAGGGCCATAAGCAATTTTTCGGTTCACAAAAGAGATGGTGGTCAGAGCTTAAGAGTCTCTGATTTAAAAATTAACAAATGCACTTGATCCAAATATTCAATCACAAAATCATCACAAATTACTTCTCGATTAAATAAACTTTCATATATTTAACTCAATATTCGTTCTAACCGCATCTCCAACCCACCCTCAACTCCTTACAAAGATTTTCTCGTGATAATAGCCCGTTTTTTTTTNTTTTTTTTTCAGTTAAAAATTTATGCAGAATTTCTAGAACATCATCTGAGGATAATAAATGTTCTATTAAAACGATATGAAATGAATGATTTCATTAAACACTTCACGTTCAGGCTGCATAAGTGATGATGTTGTTCATAAAGTTGGCGATATTTTCTTGGCAGGGACTTCGCTAAGGTTCCGAAAAGAATGTATGGCAAATGGAGAAGCGAGAGTGATAGGTGAGATGCTCAACACTCTGTAACATTCTATTTAAGCAATCAACATCTATTATTTATCCAACCATGATAAATATCATTTTCACACTGAGCATTTGATCAAACGTTTCAAAATATTGTACATGGATCAAGCTGAACTCTTGTGCTGCTATCGAATGAAACAAGTGTCAATTTTAGGCTGCAATACGGCTGATAACATAGCAGTTAATCTCGGTCAAACTATTATTCAGAAGGACGGGAGTATTTTCGAATGCTTTCAAGATAATGGCTTCTATCAATACCAAGTGCTATACAGTCAGTTTCTTGTGAATAGCTTGTAATGAATTAAAGGGTTGGGACCGGGATATTAAGGGACTTGTTAAAGTTTTCTTCTCGATCCCATTCATGCTCATTTCCTTCTGTTAAAATCATTTTTTATGCATCTCTTCCAACACGACACAGGCAAATTATTTGATTCCAGCTGGGGGATGCGGTAAAAGTACACCATGGGTTGAAGGCTTCTACCGCTTCAGATGTGTTGGTACACCAGATGGTTACATCATAGAACCTTTCGGTGACACTTATTCCATTGATTCATAGTTCTCGTTACATTGTTTTTGTCGCTTGTGTCTTTCGCCAAATATTTGAATATCTTCTGGAATGTAAGAAGTTATCTGGCAATACAGTGATAAGGAGTAAAATAAAGTAATAATAACGATAATTCAGTCGATCTAAGCACTCAAACATAGCAATTCAGGCGAGATTTGTTTATATTCTAAAAATCCTTGCGCATTTCAAATAGTTTTTGAAGTTAATTTTAGAATGTTTTGTTGCTAATCACGCGGTCAGTGTTGGCGATAGTTATGAAATTGGTGATTTGAGAGGAACGTGTGTACAGTACGACAATGGAAGTATTGCGTGGAAATACACTGGTTAGTTTCGTTCTTAGCAACACTGAAAATTAGAGCACACATTTAAACATTCGAACGTTTTTTTCAAAACACCATTGGCGTAAGATTCATCTCTTGAAGTGTTTTTGAATTTTCATGTTTAGAACTGTTATGTTGGGAATTTATTCCATCCGTTTATAAGTATTTTGGAATTATTTAAAAAGTCTCAGTTCGTATTTGCCAGGAATTCAATAATAAACGATGATTGCAGGCTGTAGAATAAATGGTCCAAATTTATGGCTGGGAGTTGGTGAAACTGTAGAAATACAAGGAGCTTTACTACAATGTACAGAAACTGGCATCACTGAAGTTGCTCAACAACAAAGTATTGCTTATATTCTATTTAATGATATCATATCTTCTTTCAATTACTCACGAACATTCTTCAGTTGTTGTTTCCAAGTTCGGAAATGGAAGAAGTGGATGATAACCTTCCTGGAAGAATTTTTTGCGCATTAATGGAGAAACTGCAGGGAGATCATTCATTCTGGCAGTGCTCTGAAGATAATTCCCCTACTATTAAACTTTTTGGAAGAGGAGAATGAGGATCACGGTTCGCCACATAGACAAAAGTTGCATGAAGCATAAACAGTTGCGATGCTACGATGAATTTCAAAGCAGTTAACAGTGATCAACGAATACTCGTTCATTTCGAGCTGGTATATATGTATAAGGGATGGAACCGGGATACAAAAATTCGCCGGAACCGAAAAAAAAACCACCTAAAAAGATTAATTCGTCAAAGGAAACCACTAAAAATATGAACACGCAAATTGACATCAGAAGAGCCGGAAGACTAAAAAACAGAAAATCTCGGAATCGAGAGAGGAATTTTTGTGCTCTGAAATTGAAAATTCTTGAAAATGACTGTACATAAAGAACCAGCATAGAGCTCTGAAATAGCATGTGCCATTGGGAGCACGCATCAAAATGTTTTATTCTGGTTATTATTAGAAACAATAATACAGCAACTGAAATCAACCAAAGTATGTTATACTGGGTTTGTCGCAAGTCCTGTAACGCGCATAGTTCAACGAACATTTAGTGTTCCATAATGAGATCATAATATAACGTTAATATCAACATGACGTATAACAACACCAAAAAGTTTCATAGGTTGAGATTCATCTCGGGGACACCCAAGGTGCTTAGGCTGAGGCTGATCCCGGAACGGAGGTTAATGCTTATCCCAGGTTCAGGGCGCAGAGTAGGTCTTCCTCCAGAGATTTGACTGTGGCTTAGCGTAGGACTGTGGCTGAGATGTCTTATAAGAGTTAGACTTATCTCAAGGTTGAGACTTATTGTTGTTTACGGTGAGGCATGACTTGACGTATTTGAAATTGCATTCATGTATTTCTCTCTTTTCATATTGGAAACATGAAGTTTGAAAGAGATCTCACAAATTTTTTGTTTTAAATTTGTGGGTTGAAACTTTCGAGCAGCTTAAGCAAAGCTACGATTTCAGAAGAAAAATTTTGATTTAAAATATTCCGAGCCTTTGAGAACCGAAAAACGTAATTTCGATGCTGATTTCGGATTCCGAATTGACTATGAATTTGAAATAATTCGTGAAAATTTGGAAGTTTCGATGGAGTTTACTTGAACCCTGCTTTGAAGGGTCGATTAGTTGTGAGTGACCAGGGTTCCATGACGTTTGGTACTGTTTATTTTTTTTGATAACTGATTTTTTAATAACACTGAATTTTCATTTCTTTAAAAATTTTGCGCAATACAGAAAGAAGCATATTCTTTTAAAAATCTGCACTGTTGGCAGTAGCAATGTAGCCGAATAACCCGCTATTGCCTACCCCTACAAATAACATTTCTGTTCTAACGTGAACGAATAAAAATTGCATGTTTTTCCAACATTCGTGCAGATTGACAACGAAAGCTACAAGTGGACATTTCTTTGCACATCGTACGAATGATAATCCATTTTAGCTCATTCCCTCACATGATCCTACGACATCCTCAAAGGAACATTTCGTTATCTTACGGGTAGTGTTGATCCCATCCCAATCTCATATTCTCTCTCAGTGACTTTGCCCATATTATCTGTTGAAAACATCCAATGTGAAATTTCATTCCAAAAAAAAACTAGTCTCAAAGATCGAAGGATCACATCACTTTTCACATGAGATGACTAAACGTACGATACAGATGACACAGTTTTTAAGTCAAACTTTTTTAAGTGCATTTTGTACTTCCAATTTCCAATCAAAAGAGCACATTTTTGGAGGATGAGGTAAGCGGCAATAATTAAAGGGAAATGATGTAAACGATAACATTTAGGGTTAAAGTAGATCTAAATCTCATACCGAGGAACGATCTGTTTGTTCACTAAATACCTCAGCCCCAGAATGAGTCTCTTATGCCTGAATCCGCATGTAATCTGTCGTGATATTTTACTTTGATTATCACTGCCGAGATGAAACCAAGAAGATTTCGAAATTCGAAATTCCTATACTAAAACGTCTTAGGTGGTAAAACAATTTGACCAGTTAATCCTTCACGCAATATTTTAGAAGAAAACGTTCACACACGTTGTTTTCATCTTTTCGCAGTAGGAAAATTGCGGTTTTTCCTCACAGTTAAAATTATAACCATAATAAGTGAATATCTTTAATGTTTGCTTAGAATTACGTAATTGCAGGAAAATGTCAAGAGACAAAAGATTATTTCGACAGCAGTATCTTCTATAAATGTATTGAAGGAGAATTACCACAACCACAAGGTATGGAATCTGTCAAAGTAGATAACTGGATTCAATCTTAAGCGATCATAATAAGTCATATTATCACCAATCATATTTTCCAATTACCCATCATTAATGCTACTCAGGATGTTCTCCGTACGAGAACGATACGATCGTGATGAACTTTGGTGATACAATTCAACTTGGCGGAGCCTACGTATATCTTTGCGCTATGATTGACGCTTATCCTGCATTTTCACGAATAAGTAAGTTTATTGGGGTATCATACTACGAGATCATAGTATGAGACGAACTTATTAATTAATGCGCATTTGCTATTACGCATGAACAATTAGTTGTCCTCTCTACTCAGTATATCATACTGTATGTAAACTCAATTTCGTTCCGATCATATTCCAGAACAATGATATAATTAGTCAAGCGTTCGTTAATAAACATGCTGGAATGCCTCAAAAATGAATCAATAAATCAAATGTGGTAAATCAGGATGTTTGGACTTTAACGGTGAAGAGATGAAAGAAGGTGAAACTAGAAGTGCGTCAGACGGAAGCCGTATAGAGTGTCGCTTGAGTGACAAAGGCATCATCGGGCGATTCTTATTCAGTAGTAATCGCCTCATCAACTATGAAGTCGGCTACAAATGGATCGAATCGAATGTCGTTTATGAGATGCGCAAAGTCGTCAATGAGTTGATTCCAACTCCTATTGGTTATTGCTATTAGTATATGATTAATATTAGTATTGTCTGTTTAAGAATATTTTATTTAAATTCATCAGTGACACAACCAAAAACGAGCAGTTATACTGTAAAAGTTAAAGTATACTTGAATTTGTCTATTGTTTATTTTTTAATTTATTGGGAGATACAGCAGCATTTATGCTTGTATTATAAAGAAGATAATGATGAGGTGGTCGTGTTAGTAAAAACTTTGCGGGTGGACGTTTCGATAGAATATGCTGAAATTTAAGGTGTTCCGAAGGGCTGTAAGTCACGGTTTTTGATGAATTTAGATAATGAGAAAACAAGATTCATAAAAAGCGATTCGAGACGGAAATTGTAAACTGGGACTTGATAAGTAGAAACTAAAAACTCTCAATAGCTCTTCATAGCAAAGTCAAGATTAATTAACCCTTGAATCAGGAAGGTACTATTAAGGCAGGTGGTGCCAAATAGGGATAGGATATCCAGACTTAATTATCGTTATTCTTTGGCTTTCGATCATTTCACGATTTCGGTTCACTTGAGCTGGAAAATGCCGATTCTGCCAAAATTTCCATTCGTTCTGGACCGTAGATAGATCAGCTATCACTTGTTGATCTCAGCACCTTAAACACCTCGTTGAGCATGCAGAATCATCGCAGAGCATATAAAGATCAAAGTCAACATTGCCAACCTATTCATTAGAGCTCATTTCGACATTTGGTAGTCTACCGAAATTTTTGACGGTCCACTATCCACGCAAATTTCAGCAGTTCAAAGTCAATTTCGAGGGCTTCCGCGCCAAAACTAGCTATTTTGTCCCGATACCCAGGCGAACACTGGAAATTCTGGTAGATTGCTGCTAAGTAAAGTTTTCGGTGATTTGGGTGCCCTTGCCCTGATTTTTCCATTTGTTTGTCTGCTGGTGCCGACATTATTCAAAAGCGTGTTACTGAAACTGTAATGGCTAGAATTGAATGTGCCAGGCGTAAATGATTACATATGTCTAGCGAGAGATGTTATCGAACTTAATCACGTCACTCTTTCCTCATACCTTTTCGAACTTTCAGCGTGCTCGGTGAGCGGTGACACATCGGTAACGATCAAGCTTGGTGAGGTCAAAGATATTGGTCATATGAGATATGAATGCAAAAAGCAACAAACTTGGGTTGCTATGATAATCAGAGGTAATTTTCATAATCAAAGCACTTTTTGTTAGGTCGCATTAGTTTCACAATAACTGATTAGATTTCATATCAATTTTCATTTTTCACTGCTTCTAATGAGTTTTTTACAATACCTTCTGATCCAAAAATAACACCTTTTACAAATCCAATCAACGAGTTTCAGGAACACTGTGAAAACTATCGAGTTAAGGGAAGTTAAAATATTTATATGGCATCAGTAAAGGAGTAATTGCAGCTGTTTTATCATAATTCATTTTTATGTTACTTTGTTCAGGATGTATAACGGATGGAGGCGAATTTTTCGAAATTGGAGATACGATCAAGATGAAACATAATACATTTGTTAGCTGTATTAAAGAAGGACCAATCGTTTATTATGTTAAAGGCAAAAGTAATAATCCAGCTTCTCAGTGATTACCATTTCAATTACTCATTAATATTCAATTGCTCATACTTCACGCTACATTCATTCCTTTCGTCACCTCTATATCATCTTTAAATTACCACAAATATTGAAAGATATTTGTCTTAGGATTACTGTGAACATTTACACATCCACTTCTTTCGCTAGATCTGAATCGTGTTTTTCAATTATTGATTCACTCATGTTCACCGAGTTTTGTGATCCATGCAGATCGACCAAATTTTATAAGGTTGATTAAAAATTAGCATAAGTAGAGATAAGTTGCGTTCAGCATTTTAAGCAGTTCACATTCGATATTATACTTCAATCTTTTTGAAGAATGTAATTATGAAACGCGATTACGAAACGTTTGGATTGAAATATGAGATGATCATTCGTTATGTCTGAAATATAGTAAACTAACTTTACTACTACCCGATGTTCCTGACAAAAGTTTCATCGGTGACAGTTATACGCTGTTTTTTAGAGAATTCATGCCAACGACCTGATGGTCAGCCAGGTGTCATTGCTCTTGGACAAAAATTTGTTGATGAAGAATCGGGCATTGTTTATGAATGCACTCCAACTAGAATGAACAATCAAATGGTGTTTCTAAATGTATCGGGTGAGTGAAAGTTCATCAGGATCTGACGATTGTTTGGTTCTAAACTCAGTGTTAAATTATATGCTGACTTAACGATAGGAAAGTTTGATGGTAGGGTAAGACTTTGATGGTAAGACGAACCGTAGAAATCAGTAGTACTACTTTTTATCTGTTAGATTTGATTCCGTAATCGTTTACGTGAACACGACTAAATTCATAAAATGAAATTCGTGTCAGCAGTGCTTGTAAATTTTGACAAAATTTGCCGAAGAGAGCATGGTTTCAAGGGAACGAACTTTGATGCAATTTTTCGAAACAATAAGTGTAACTTTGGCCTCAAAGAGAAACAGTTGTCGTCCATCGAGATATAATAAAATTAATAGACGAAAAATGAAATCATATAATGGCCAGTTACTTCTCGAATCTATGCACTGATACTAGAAAATGGTCTGGGGAGTAATCAAGTATTGTTAAGGATGCCAGTTGACAAGTGGACAGCGCATTGGTTTTGGTGAATTTATGAGGTATTCAGCAGAGACAACTTATAAATGTGTTTTACTGTTCAACGGTGAAGCACGTCTTCAAGTACTTCGCGATGAAGGTATAATTTGATATAATGTTACGGCGAATATTCAACAGTTTTTGACTGAAATTATATCTGTATTTGGAACAACTCATGGTCACTAAGAAAGTAATTAATAATTGAAATATGAATAAAAAGAGTTTAATAAGTGGTTGTTTTGCGTCATCAAAAATTAAAAATCATTTTGCAAAAAGAGAACATAAAAGACTCTAATAACCAACTGCGTGATTTATTAAGAGATGAAATGTTATTTCAATGGTCTTGTTTATGACAATGAACAAAGTTTCACAACCGCTGATAATTCAATTTATAAATGTCAATTTGGACAAATCATTAAAACGGGTAATTTTTTGCTGAATATTCATTTCCTTCCGAAATTTTTTTTGTTTACAGCGTTGAATTGTTTCTTATTCAGTGTCCTCCACAGAAAATACATGGTGTTTTCGCAGCAGTCGTCCTCGTGAACCGATGTATTTGCAGGTTGTTTAATAAGAGAGAAGGAAATAGCAGTTGCGACGACGCTTTTATGTCGTGGTGATCCATTCGTATGCACCGAAAGTGACGGATATATCCGACTGCCAAAAAGTGAATAATGATTTAATAAGAACTGACTGAATTGGTCCTTAAAAGATTAACGATAGTGATTGTAATTGATAAAGACGACCTGGATTAATTTTGGTCCTATTTTTTAAATGAAAAATGTATTTTCGAATGCCACAACTGATCCAAAGTAACAATAGTTCTAGGCATATCCATTGAAAAATGACTTTCATGTATTCATCACCGCCTTTAAACAACCGAAAAAAATCTGTTATTTCAGCTGGATGTATGATCGGCGAACGACCACTTGAATTAGGTGAAAAATATGAGCAAGATGGAATCACGTTTATTTGTGATGTAAGATATGTGAACGGATCTAGCACTGAATCGTACACCAGATTATATGGTATGTCCTCATTCATATGTTATTTTCCGAATGAAAAGCTAGCAGCAAAAATAGTCAACAAAGTAACTAAAGACCCACAATCGCCGACTTCCAATCGCTAGGCTTATAACGAGAGATGCTTACGGCAAATAATTTCAACAAAAAAAAANAAAAAAAAACTTTGTTGAAATTATAAAACGATCAAAACAGAAATTTTCTTCAACGAAACGATTTCGAGATTTGATTTTACCACAGTGATATCTATAAATATGTTTTTTTTTCTTCTAATTTGTCAAACTATTCAAACCAAAGGTCTGAACTTACTCGAGATTTTTAGTCTCATTAAAATTATGCTGTTCTTCTGTTATTCTAGTCTAATTGAAAACATCAAATGTTTATAGAGTGGAAGTTCGGTTTATGAACGCTCCAGTTCATGAACAATTCGGACTGCACACAAAATTCTCGGCCAGAGTTCGTTTAGGAATACCACTCTCGTTACGACCATTTTTAGTCGAATTTGGAGAATTTTCAGTTTGGATGCAATGTGTTTTCTGATTCTGTTACCTAAATGGTGCCGTTCTAAACTAGTGGGCAGAAATTGTGTTCGAAAAGGGCATTTGAGGCCTCTGTAATGAATTGAAGAGGTTCTTCATTAATAATGAATTCAGAGCTGTAAGTGGTTAACAACCAGACTTCACTATAACGTTCTGATGGGGTAGCAAACTGGCCACTCACAACCCAGTTTCAGTGGCAAGAATACAAGAATATTGAAGGGGACGACTCTGATCCCAGTCAACCATCCTGTTCCCACATTTCTGTCATTTTCTAACTATGAGCAGTCAATCAATGAAACTGTTGATGTTCTACATTATCGATAAAATTTTACAATCGGGAAAATTGGGTCGGGTGGGACGAATTGATTCATTTTACGCTGAATACAACGGAAAACAATGCTTTAGTTCACTAATTAATTGCTGCAACGAATTGTTTTCAAATCACAGCCCAGTTTTAGTGGGATCAATGTAAAATTCCACTTTGAAAAAACGACGGTTATGAGCAGTTTCTGGCAAGGCATATTTATTTATGCGTTTACAAAAACCTGAACACTCTCATAAGTGTAATCAGACTTACGACCATATCGGACTCACGACGAAACTCTCGGTCCCAACTGTGGTCGTAAGTTGGCGATTATCTGTAATTGATCACATGGAATGAAACTCCAGTAACAATCTGTCTCTTGAAATCAGGTTCCTTCTCTATCGTTCGTATCTACTAAAAAATATCTTCCGCTCAGTAAAATAACTGAAAAACGTGAGTTTTCCGCATATCCATCATATGAACGCTATGAATAATAATGTGAACGTTTACAGCTCTCCGTTTCCCTCTAAATGAGTGTAAAACATCAAGTAATACTCCACATACAATTTTGCGCACTAATAACCACTTCATCACGCCATTTCTCCTCCCACACCATTAATATGTCTACCATCATATAACAAGTAATTATTACTGCAACAGTCTAGAAGCGTACCAAACTTGAATGTGTTTCCGAATATCCCGGCTGTAGAAAGTAAAACATGAAAAGTAGCGATATCGAACTATCGCTTCCTACTGACATCGCTTGTGAGTACGCTAACCTTCTCCGTTCCCACCCCTACTTAGTAAACAGACTATCTTTTCCGATTGCTTTTTCGCTATCTCGCCGGTTGCAGTGGTCAATTTGGTTACTGAAAAATCGCGTGAGGAGGCGCTGGGTTTCCGTTCTATTTTTGGTTAAATGACGTTTTATAAACATTCATTACATTCTGCAAGAAAGTATCAAAGGAATGGACGAATAAACTCTCAGAAATTGGATGCCATTTTTTACGCTTCAAAATTTTTGCTTTATATGCATATGCACCAAAATAGAAAAGAAAAACATAGAAATGAAGCCATAAGAACAAATGCTCGAAAGCAATTGGCGTTTACATCCGTAGTGAAAAATTCGAGGAGCTGGCGGAGCTAAGGGTGCGTTTCGATTGTTGCAAATTTTACGACGGGTTTCGCTAAAATGAACCAGATACATCGAAAATCGGGAGGAGAACTCAGGGAAAAGAGGATATTTTCAGTTCAGTGCTGTATTAGAAAATTCGAGCGATTTGCGCCAGCTCTATCTGCAGCGGTTTTAATTCAATTTTTGCACAGAATGATTTTAACCAAGATGGACTGGAATCGGCCAGTATTCCGATGATTGGAGAGAAAAGTTTCTTACGCTAGTTTTGCATCACTGCAGTATATATGTACAAACTTCTGATGTATGTGAATTCCAAAGAAATTTAACGACCTGCAATAATTAGTCAGTTTACAGAAACTTGAAATAATGAGAGGTTTAAAAATCATGATTTCATTTCTTGAACTGAACAAGGACGAAAACATTAAAAGGAAGAGTGTTTAGGTTGCAAAGATCAGAATGGAATGTTGCGACTTGCAAACGAACCCTATTATGATGAAGAACAGCAAATGATGTGTGCATTTTGCAACTACAAATATCAGATATGCTCTGTGGAATCACGCAACACTGCTGTCATACAAGGGATCTTTAACAGTTTCAAGATAAAAATTGCCGAAACAATTCGGTTCAATTTAAATACAGGTACCTAATCGTTCACTTAATGGAAAATATAATCGATCAAACAAAATGTCGTGCTAATTGTGAGCGGTGTTTCAATCTGAGATATGATGAATGCCAATATAAGAAAAAACGTCTGTATCAGGTTTTATCGGTGCTGTGCACTCTAATGAGAATAGTTAGCTTCATGAAGTGTTAAAGTGATGAAAAATTCCATTTCTCTCCCTCAGAGATAATCCGATGATAATTATTGGCGGGAGGATATTGCTTAGGGCGCAATTTTTTTTGCTGATAGAAATATTGATAGGGAATTTTGATGGCAATTTTCATTGGTAAGTTAAGCAGCAGAATTGATTCGTTAGTTGCTACGGATGAATCACAAATTTCCTCTCGAAATTCACAATATGGCAGTGGATCTTTCAAGAAAAAAAAACTTCGTTACTTTTAATAAGACTTATTCCACTTCAATGAACATCACAATTTCTCTTTGATAGATAGCAATTTTTAGATATAATGAGATAAGCTGAGTTTCTTAGGAGAGTTTCTGGGAGGCGATTCACCGTCACTGTTACTATAGGAAGAAAATATCGCACACTATTGTGAATGCATAACGCAAAGAAATGTACTGCACTTTAGTTTCATATACGTTCATCAAATGTCCGCAACTTTTCACCTTAATCAAACATAGTATGATTCAGAGAAATTAGTTTACAGTCACAAGCAGTGTGTTCTAAGACTCAAAAAAGTTAAACGGACTATCAGATAATTTATCAGAGTGCTTAGATTAAACGCCAGTAGCATACTCATAATCTCCATTCAAGAGGATGAATATCAGCGGGAAAAAATATTTTGAAAAACGTTGTTTTTGCTACGAAGTGAATGGCGTTTAAGAAATGCCAAGATATACATAATCACAATAGTTCTCATACGTGGAATAAGGGAAAGTTTATCATGCGAGAAATTTAAGAAAGCTAGTAGAACTGAAGAGGCAAGCAAATTACTTTTGAGCGTTTTTCAAAGAATTCTTTCGTCACAGTCCAAAAAGGTATTCGAAATGCTTGGCTGACCACGAGGAATCAATCTCCGTTGACATTAGAGAGGAAATGTTCACAGCAAACTTCTTGATCACCAAATTGACTTCTCTCTTTCTTCTGATATTTCGCGCTCAAGTATCGGATTTTTGAAAAGCTGGAATAGCAGCTACATGGATGGTTGGGGAGGCCAACAGGGGTACGAAATATGAGAATGTATGAAAACTGATTTGGGAGACCATTTACATTACTTCACCAAACCACTGAAGTTTTATTTTATGCAGTGCTGTGCGAAAGAGAACGATATCTTTGGAACCTAAACTTCAATACTAGAGACAGAGTTAAGTGACGATCGGCAGAGCAAAATATAGCGGCACATTATATTTCGGCATCGGCTTACGCTGAGGCTCATGACGGGGCAAAGGTATCTGTTGAACAAGTAGATGGATATGTTATACCAGGATGAGGTATTTATTGAACAAACAAATGATTTCCCAGTGTGAACATCAGCCTAACCCATAGCCTAAATGTGATGTAGCTCAAAATTCTGATTATCGCCACTTGTTCGGGTTGAGAATTAAAATCTAAATTGTTCGGACAATTCTGATTATGCTGAGTTCACGGTTACACCCCTGTAGGAATAAAATAATTGTTAGACTGTGGAAATATCATTCGCCCCAAGAAGAGGGTTAACGGATTAGCAGCGGTGGTTCAGAAAAATTAACGTAAAAAATAAAGCGCTAACGAAAAGAAATGACGACTTATTGCTAATTAGTAGCACAAAAAATATACTCGGCGAACGTAAACAAAAAATTGTTCGTTAAAACGATAATTAACGGGTTACGCGGTAATGAAAAAAATAACTTCCTGAACAGCGAATTATCGTATTAATGTTCGTCACTGGGATATCTATAGAACTGCATGTACCATATTTCAGCAAAATTTGAACCTCTGAGGGAAACTGAACCAGGTAGAGAATTATTGAAGAACTAGAACAACGAAAGGTTAATCCAGAACGGTCCTGTTGAAATAACGGGAAGAGTACAAACAAACCAGGTACCATTCATTAACATAGTTTCAGACGATCCATTCAAATGGCCATGGCCAAAACAGATCAATGGAGAACCCCTACCAAGAGCCCCGGATGGAGAGCCCTGGCCTACTGCGCCAAATGGAGGACCCCTAGAAAATGGACCCAACAATCTTAAGTGGCCCCAAGGGCCAGACAGAAAACCATTGCCGGTTGCTCCAGATGGAAGGCCGTGGCCTGTTGGACCAAACAACAATTTGTCACCATCAGGACCCGGCGTACCCCCATGGCCAGTGGGATGGCCCAAAATACCTGAAAACATGACCATAGACCTAGGTCCATTCTCACTTCGGTGGCCCATCGTCAAAAACGGAATGCCGCAACCTAGGGGGCCAGATGGAGAAATCTGGCCGCTAGGACCGGATGGAATTCCTATTCCGACAAGTCCAGATGGAACGGAATGGCCCAAGGGAATCGATAATCTACCTCTACCAATTGCTCCTGATGGGAGACCATGGCCCATCAGTGTCAGCGGCATTTTATCTCCATCCGGACCAGGTATAGCTCCATGGCCAGTAGGCTGGCCGCGTATGCCTGAAGCGCCATCTGGACCCATCAACATGCCATTCCCGCACATGCCATTCCCTCACATGCCGCATATGCCCCA